TAAAGGGTGCCTCTGGGAGTGTAAAGACTGCTTCTTCATCATCATTTCTCCCCACTGGTTCTTCTGAATGCACCCTGTGAAATTCACCACAATGAGGACTTGTTAAAGCTTCCGGGAAAATCTGAGTTCTGGCCCATCTTGTCTTGCAAATTCAACACCCTCCTTCTCTGATCACCAAATATTTTCCAGGGTTTGGGTTTATAAATGCTGCTGTTTACAGGCAAAGAAGAAGTGCGCAATCTAAGACTCAAAGCTACCTGAATGGCTCGCCAGTCAAAATATTTATTTTAAACATTCTTATCTCACTCTTCAGCCAAAACAAAACAAAAAAAAGTTCTCAGGTTACGTAAGGAGCAGGACAAAACCTGCCCACACATTGAAAGGCAGGGCAGAAAAGGAAAAAAGAGATGAGGAGGGAAGAGGAAAGGGGGGGGGGAAACCCAAGCAAAGGCCAGCATTTAAAGTTTTTTTATGAAGACAGGGCTAGGAGGTATTCTCGTCTTAAAGAATTTGCAAAGTGGCTCGCTTTGTCTTGCGCTTGGTCTTTCGGATTTAAGCATGGGGTTCCTTCGCAGCCTTTGACCTCTCCAACACAAAACTCTGCAGGAATCATGTCTCTCCAACACCGAAGAGCTTTCGGCCGTACTTGCCGGCTCGTTGCAAAGTCTGTTTCTCCTCTCAGCCTTTTTCATGCTGCAAACTCTGTCCCCCCCAAAAAAAAACCACACCTTTGTAAGCCCCCACCCTTAGTCCAAGGCAGCTGCCCCACTCCCCCTTAGGATAGGGCCGGCCTTTCCAGGCCCTAGGTAGCAGCATCACGCTGGGGGAAACGGAGTAAGCACTCAGAGGATGCAGCTGCAGCAAATATTATCTGCTGATAAAGCTTCCAAAGAGGTCCAAATTATTTTTTTTCCCCTGACTCTTTCGGAAGTGGGAGGGGAAAGCCAACCCACAGACGGCTTCTTCAGGAGAAACTAGATGCTGCTCAGCCCTGGCGTCGCCGGACTGAGATAAGACCGGCTTCCTCCGCTTTCGAACCAGCAAGATTTCTTCACACACCAGTCTCTTGGCCTCACATCCCTCGCGCCGTCCATAAGGCAGAGAAGCCACAAGAATTCTGGACGGGCTCCCAAAATCACCCACCTACACGGGCACAGGCGCCGGACTGGATGGCTGCAAACGGCCGCCCACCTCAGCTTTGTTCTGGAAATAGACTCCCATGCGTTCCCTCTCTGAACTTGAGTCCAGGCGTCAGATGTTCCCGGGCGTCATGAGACAACGCTGGAAACTCACATATAATTTACCAATAATGGCCCTGGGGGAAAAAAAAAGAGAAAAAGAATAAAGGCCAGCCGGGCTGCCCGGAATGTTTTCTTGTCGCTTGTAAACTTGGAAAGGAAGAAAACTGGAATCCAGCCTTCCTGGGTCCAGATGTTTTATATATATATTTATGTACGCACACAACCAAAGTTATCGTTAAGCGGCAAAGCGTTTTCTTGAAGGCAGGAGCAATTAGGCTTCTCCTTTTAATGGTGTTGAACGTCAGAACTCAGCGGCCGCCGCCACCACCCGTAACCACCTTCCAGGGCTTTTAAGGCCATCTTGCCACAGGGATACTTTGTTAGTCTGTTGTATCAAAAATGGCTAAAAGTCTTTAAATGTTTTTAAAAAAATCAGGCCGGATGTATCAGCTCTAGGCTGTTTCTGGTGGGTTCAAAGTCTCGCATGAAAGCAGAAGTGTTGAAGAATTTGTTCTGTAGCTCACTAGTCTGGAAACGTAACCTTTCCAGCTGGCAACTGTTAGCCATGATGGAACATCCAGGTCCAGGAGCAGTCTACCTCTAAAAACCACATACTGGGGATCAGGAAGGACTGGCTGTTTCTCTGATGGGCTACTGCAGAAGGTAGGATGCTGGATTTGATGGAGCACCTTTAGTGAGGTCTAGAAGGGGTCATTTAGAGACTTCTTCTAGTGATGGACATTTTTTTTTCTCCTGGGTAGGAGACCCTCTTCTGAGCCCCCAGGAAATGGGCGGCACCATTGTGTCTGTGCGTGCTGATGAAGGGACTCTGAATAAGAAGTAGGCACATATTTTCATGTCCTCAATTTCATCAGGCTTGCAGTTACCATGCAGATGACATAATAAAAACAGAAGGTGAACCAAGAGGTCTCCGGAAACATGCAGATTAAGATTCACGCCCAAAGGGAAAAGCTCCCGGTCTTTGTTTGGGAGAGAGGAACGCAAGAAAGGCCGCTCGAGTCCAAGATGACTATAAACAGAAGTCCTAACGAAAACAAATCGTTCTTGATTCCTCCACCTATTGCTAAACCGCCCTGTTATTTATTCCTTTGCTCCGAGCCACAGCTTGTGAGAGCCAGTTTGGAAGACTCCCGTTCCAAACATTCCCAAATAAAGGAATCCGCATCAGAGGAAGATGGGCTTTGCAATCCAAACAAGAAACCTTCCGGCAGGTGTCCGCCTTATTGGGGAAAGACAGGCCACAGTAAAAAAGGCAGCCCAATAGGGTGAAAACTCAGGAGCGTGGAACACATTTTTTAAAAAGGAACTAACAACATTATTCATTACTTCTGAGTAGTTACTGCTCTGGCTATGGAAGTAATTAATTTGTTTTTGGTGTTACTAATGTGCTTAGGTGTCACCACCAGCTAACTAGAAAGATACAGGGAAGTGCTCTCTACTTCCCTCTAGTGGCCGGTTCTGATACTGCCCCTTGCCAATATTTACAGATGCAAAAATACATAATACTTTCCTTTCCTTAACACTTGGGTTCAATAAGAGAGTGTCATGATCAGTGGTGCTAACTGTCACTGCAGTTTTTCTGAACTATAACTGACAACAGCCGTACCCTTACGAAATGCTTGATTTACAAAAGGCGCATTCAGTTAAAACCCAGGGTGTAAAAGGAACATCCATTCCCCTCCAGCGTTCTTTCTGAGACGGGATTCTCCTTATCTCCAAGGGTGGTAAAAGCCTGCATCCTGCTCCAGTTTGGTTTTCCAGGGCTGTTTCGTACTTCCCTTTTTCATGTAAACACTCCATCCTTCTGCGTCATCTAAATCCTGGTTTATAAGCTGCAGCTGTGGCCTGGCCCTGTGGCACGCCAGCTCAGAGTTGGTCTGCAAACAGCTGCTGCCCAGCTGGAAGCTTTGCCTACATCCCGAGGACCCAGGAGTCCGGGAAAGACCGGGTGTAGTTGAAGATCAAGTCCCCGCCTCAAGGAATTTTTGTTGTTGTTTAGTCGTTAAGTCATGTCCAACTCTTTGTCACCCCATGGACCAGAGCACGCCAAGCCCTCCTGTCTTCCACTGCCTCTTAGAGTTGGGTCAAATTCATGCTGGTCGCTTCAATGACCCTGTCCATCCATCTTGTCCTCCGTCATCCCCTTCTCCTCTTGCCTTCACACTTTCCCAACATCAGGGTCTTTTCCAGGGAGTCTTCTCTTCTCATGAGATGGCCAAAATCTTGGAGCCATCAGCTTCAGGATCTGTCCTTCCAGTGAGCACTCAGAGTTGATTTCCTTCAAAATGGACAGGTTTGTTCTCCTTGCATATTTCAGTATTGGGGGGATTCTTAAAAGCCTCCAAACCCACCTCATGTGGCTGAGACACACCAGGAAGGACTCATCCGTGGAGTTAAGGAGGAAAGGTAGAAACACAGATTGGGGGAGAGACACAGCCATTTCCCATTTCCAATTTCCTCCCCAGCTGTGGGCATAGCTGACTTGCCAGATGTTCTTAGACTACCATTCCAGCATTCGTCACATTGGGCTATGCAGGCCTGAACAGATGAGAATTGCAGTGTCACAATATACAGAGGGCAAGACTTTCTTCAGCCTGTTTTAGCCTCTCCAAAGGTGTGGGGCTTCAGTGTTTTCTGTCTCATCCTCAAAAGGAGTCTCTCACCATGCCTCTGCATGAGTTCCTGGTCTGAGCAGCCAAGATCAAAGCATCCGGAGAGTCAGAAAGCAGCTTCTTGCAAATGACAGAATTTTTATTTTTATTTATTTATTTAGCTATTTCAGTATTTTTGGGGGGGATACTTAAAAGCCTCCAAATCCACCTCATGTGGCTGAGACACACCAGGAAGGACTCATCCGTGGAGTTAAGGAGGAAAGGTTGAAACACAGATTGGGGGAGAGACACAGCCCGGAAATTCGATGGTTTCATTTCCCATTTCCAATTTCCTCCCCAGCTTAAGTATGGCAAGAGATGGCCAAGATAGGGGTGTGTATCTGGGGGAAATTTCTGGATTCTTGGAACACTATGTAGTGCTGAAGCAAACAAATAAAAAAACACCCAAATTGAAAATAGGAATGACCAGCGATGGGATTGTAGATTTATGATATAGTGCATCCAGTTCTCAACAGTTCTAGAATAATTTTTCACTGTTTTATGATTGAGATCTTTTGCTACAGGAGAGGCTGACAGTGTTGTTGTTGTTTTTTTTAAAAAAAGGAGAATGAAACCATAGATCAGATCCCCGAGAGGCTTTCTTAGGCGGAAAATGGCCATGTTTATACAAGAAATGGGCTATTTCTGGGGCGTGATGTAAGGAACTTGCTAACTGGCACATGCAAAAGCAGGGCGCCTAATTCTGCCATCACCTCCACCATCACGCGGAGCCCTGTCTCCCAGTAAGGCTGGCACCCCTTGGCCTCTTTGGGTCTTCCCAGTCAATGCTTCTCTTTAAGGTCTGGCCTGGTTCCAGAGAAGAGATGCTCTTTTGGGGGGTGGCTAGCCCGGTGGGTGGGTGGGACTGGATGCAGAACAGCTGGCGGGGTCGAGGGTCAGGAGAGAGACACATGCTTGTCTCTGCCTTCTTCGCTCCTCGTCTCCTCTTCTCCTTGTTTATTCAGTTCTGATTGCCTCCGGGCCTCTCTTCCCCCCCCCCCCCGTCCTTTCGGGTCTTTTCTTTATGGGGCCATAAAGGCAATTAAGAGCCCGAGGAGGCCTTTCCTCATTCCAAATGAAAACCAAGATGTGCTCCTGCCAAGGTGGCTTCGGAGAAGGCAGCCTCTACCAACTTCTCCACCTGGACCACCAGCCCATCTGCCTACAGGTCCTAATGGGCTAATGTTTTCTCCCTCTCTTTCTTCTCTTCCCCCCCCTCCACCTTTCCTTGGACCCTTCTTTGCAACACGTTTCCCCCATAAACGAGATAAGGTGAGCTCAAAGGCTGGCTGCAAGTTGGGTAACTTCAAGATCTAGCCAAGATAATGCTGCAACCTCTCTCCTTCCAAAAGCCAACTCCAATCTTAACAACACCCAGCTTCATAAAGCATCCCGGAGGACTCAAAAGCTCATCCTTTTAATGCTATTTCTCGAGGTCCCCTAAAGGTCTTACTTAAGCCCGATTTTGGCTACAGATCACACAGCTGTGCTGGATTCCTTTTCAGAGTTTCCTGTCCATAAGGAAGAAAACCTCCTATATAAATAAACACACACACAATGATTATCCTTTAACTCTCTCTCTCTCTCTCTGTGCAGTGAATCCATCATGCTATTTCCCGTGTCAACACCAGGGCGTGTGTGTCCAGGTTGGCGCGAAGGGGTACGAGTGTGACTGCACACGGACTGGGTACTATGGCAGAAACTGTAGCTCACGTAAGTATCTCCCACAAAACTGGTTCTAGACAATCGTGTGGTCGCAATGGGTCCTCCAGCTTCAGATGCAGTCTACCCCAGAGGATCCAAAACGGAGGATATAGCACTGGGAACGTGGTTGCCTTCATGCCATGGGTCTGGCGGGCTCCGGTGGGAGACTGGAAGCCGGCATAACAGGCCACGGCTGGTGTTTTCCTGTTGTTTTCCAGCTGAATTCTGGTCGCGTCTACGGGAAACCTTCAGGCCCCGGCCGGCCTTCTACCACTTCATCTTGACCCATTTCAAGTGGCTTTGGGACATCATCAACACCACGTTCATCCGAGACACGCTGATGCGGATAGTGCTGACATGTGAGTAAAGAGCAGAGGTTGGGAAATTTGGGGCTGCAACTCTCAGAATTCCCCAGTTCATCGGTGACCATGCGGGGGGCGAGGAAGTCAATTTGGGAAATCATCATTAAAAAGGAACAGATTAACTTTCTCAGGCACTGGTTAAAAAAAATCAATAGACTGAGGAGGTAGCCAAGGTTTGAGGAGGGTGAGAAGCTGGGGAAGCAGAGAGCCCTAAGATTGTCAGAGAATGCTTCTCCCCCAAGAAGGGGAAATTTAAGCAAAGCCACAAGAGGGGAAATGATTCTAGGGCTCCTGATCATAAATTGGGGATACATTGCACTGGGAAACCATGCTGCATATTTCTCGAAGAAAATGGAAGGTGTCTGTACAAGAGGAATGCTGCAATAGGTACCTACTAGCTAGTACCTGTATCGTCACCAACGCTTGTGCTTTGCACAGCTCTTACTCATTTCAAGGGGGCTTTCCCACAAAAAAAACATCTCAGTGGATTGCACCCAATGAGTCATGTTCCCAATAGTGCCACCAGATCTCACAATTGACTTGCCCACCGTTTCTTCACCTCCGAATCGCGCTGGTGCCAAAGCTGGTCTCTGTTGTTTACTGACGTTTTCCCCCTCCCTCTCCCTGCAGTGCGGGCCAATCTCATTCCCAGCCCGCCCACTTACAATTCTGACTATGGGTACATCAGCTGGGAGTCTTACGCCAATGTCACCTACTTCACCCGTGTCCTCCCTCCGGTGCCGAGCGACTGCCCCACGCCCATGGGGACAAAAGGTAAGTGGGGCCCACCTGGGCAGAATACCTCTCCCTAAAAGTGTTTTCGGGTGATTTATTTCAAGCGGCTACATGTCATTTGTTGAAACAATTTAGAGGTTTTGGGGCACCTTAAAGGCTAAGACATTTCATGAGACAAATGTTTTCCTGGACGTCACATAGAATCACACAATAGTTGAGTTGGAAGGGGCCTTCGAGGCCATCAAGCCCAACCCTCTGCTCAAGGCAGGAATCCAAATCCAGGCATATCTGCCACACGGCTGTCTTTAAATTTCTCTTGAATACCTCTAGCATTGGAGCGCTTAACACCTCCCGATATAATAGGTTCCATTGTTGTACTGCTCTAACAGTTAAGAAGTGTTTCCTGATATTCAGCCTAAATCTGGCTTCCGGTACCTCCTAAATCCTGCTTCACGTGGAGCGTGGCCTTAGGAGGCAGGCATTATTCATACGGCAGAGAGAGGGTAGGTATAAAAACAGGCAAAACTGTGAAATACCAGACATCCTTTCTGATTGCTCTGAATTCAAAATATCACATCTGTTTAGATCCGGGTGGGTTTCGCCATGAGACTGACAGATTTCCACTCTGGCGGCTAAATACTGTGGCAGAAGTTTTCCAAGTTTAGGAGACAACTTTCTGTTTATCCCTGGGTTTAAAGCAAGTTGGGGGGAAGTTCCATCCTCCATCCCTCAGCCGCACTGACCTACAAGCCAAAGGACTGCTTTTTGCCTACCCTGCAGGACCGTTGGAGCTCCCGGAGGCCCGGCTGGTCGCAGAGCGCTTTTTTCTCCGGAAGACCTTCCACCCTGACCCTCAGGGTACCAACCTGATGTTTGCCTTCTTCGCCCAGCACTTCACCCACCAGTTCTTCAAGACATCGGGGAAAATGGGCCATGGATTCACCAGGGCGCTGGGCCATGGGGTGAGGACAGCAACATGATTACTGATTAAACGCTGTTAGCGTTTCAGGCAGATCTTAATACCTTGCCAATGATATCTGAAGCCTGTGCTTACTTTCCAACTGCAAAGCAAAGGAGGAATGAGAAGTCCGTGTTGTGACAATCAAATGGCTTTCCAGACTTGAGGAATTCCTTCTTCTAATGATGTGCTCTTTGAAATGTACAGTTTGTTTGTTTTTTAGCCCTGGAAGCTGTTGTCAATACTCAGGCTCTTCCCTAGGATGTATCATTCATGCAAATAAAGAGGAATCCAGAGAAATGAAAAGCAGAGGCTGTGAAGAGTACCTTTCTCCTAACCAGAAACTCATACGACACTTTCCATGCAAAATCTATTGTTTTCCACCTAGTTCTGAAAGCCACTTTGCTGCTTAGGAAAATACAATAAACAAATTCCTTCTATAAGTCATAAACAAATAAGCATACTTGAAACCTCGTGGCCTTTTTGGAACAAGAAAGTGCTGTTCGGGGCGTTCAGGGAGTTCAGAAGGAAAAATAGCGCCCCCCCCCGAGAGGGAGACAAATTAACATGGCTGCTGTCATTCAGAGCCTGGAAAAAGTTACTTTTCTTGGCCATGCTGGCTAGGAGATGATTATGATGGTTGCACAACACTGTTCTCACCTCCCGTACCTTGCAAATGAGCTTGCTTTGTTTTCTGATCGGTTTGAACCACGTCTCTTGTGAACACAGAGGTTCACACCGGCCTTTTCTTTTCTGCAGGTAGATCTTGGGCACATCTATGGGGACAACCTGGAGCGTCAACACCAACTCAGACTCTTCCGAGATGGGAAGCTGAAGTACCAGGTACGATACCGTGGTGGGCAAAGGCTCCTCCCGCCTCGGCATGGAGGGAGCTCAGGGATCAGGGGAAAACAAGTGTGTGGCACGGTAAAAGCAGATGTGAATACAAGGATAGGGGGCGTAGTGGTGTCTGGAAGTTGGGGAACTCCAGTTTCCAGCTGTGGCCAGTATAGCCCATGGCGGGGATGATGGGAGCTCCAGTCGAATAAAATCTAGAGGACTGGGGACGCTGTGCCTTTGTTAAAAGGCAAAACCTTGGGAAGTGGCGCTTTTTTTGGCCTCCGACTCCCATGTTGGCTGGGGGATTCTGGGACATGTAGTCCAGTTAAAGGAATGTCCACAACTTCAGGCCCGGTGATCTCAATAAAGGATCTCCTAACTGATGGCCAAAGGGGGGGGGGAGACACAAACACAAGTTGTCCTCCTGGGCAAGGGCCCGATCCACCCTTCAATAAAGGATCTCCTAACTGGTGGCCAAAGGATCTTAGAGTTTGCATAGGGAAGGCATTGCATGAGCATTGGGGGGTGCGGAGACACAAACACAAGCTGTCCTCCTGGGCAAGGGCCCGATCCACCCAGATGCCACCCATAGTGGGTGTGTGTGTGTTACGGCATGCATTTTTTTTAAAAGTCCAGCCAGTCTGGTCTACCTCAGTGTTGTTTTTTTTCCAGATGGTGAATGGGGAGATGTACCCCCCTACCGTGCGAGACGCCCCCGTCCACATGATCTACCCCAAGCACATTGTGGCAGAGGAGCAGATGGCCACGGGCCAGGAGGTGTTTGGGCTCCTCCCGGGACTGATGATGTACGCCACCCTCTGGCTGCGGGAGCACAACCGGGTCTGCGACCTGCTGAAGGGCGAGCACCCGACCTGGGAGGACGAACAGCTTTTCCAGACGGCCCGGCTCATCCTGATTGGTGCGAAGGCGTGGTGAGATTATTTGGGGGGAGCAGGGTGTGTGTGTGTGTGTGTGCCAGCCAGGGAAGGACGGTTCCCGTGGGAGGCGTCTCCCAGACCCCTGTTCGGCTCAAGACAGGAAGTAGAACCTGGGGGGAAAGCATGCTCTACTTCGCAGGGATGTTGTGATGAAAAGCGTAGGGAGGTGGAGGATCCCATCTGTGAGGTGCCCATGCTTGCTCAGGGGAGTGTGGGAGTTATAGTCCTAGAAGGGGGGGTGTTCTGGGCTTTGTACTCGCCTAACGCAGCCATCCATGCAGGCAGCCACCCCCAAATTCACAGTTTTCCTCCTCTCCACCCAGGCGAGACCATCAAGATTGTCATTGAGGACTACGTCCAGCATCTCAGTGGCTACTACCTGAAGCTGAAGTTTGACCCAGAACTTCTCTTTGGGGTGCAGTTCCAGTATCGGAACCGGATCGCCGTGGAGTTCAACCAGCTCTACCACTGGCACCCATTGATGCCAGACTCCTTCAGAATCCGGGACCGAGAGTACCCCTATGACCAGTTCATCTACAACACCACCATGCTGACAGACTACGGCGTGGAGGCCCTGGTAGAGGCCTTCTCTAAACAACAAGCCGGCCAGGTAGGTCTCAGGTGGCCGTGTCTACCCTTCAAGGTGTGAATGCACTGGGATAGTGCAGCCAGTAGACCCAAAAAATTTCAAGTTCTTTCCCCGGGACCGGCCTTCCTTAGATGACTCCTATCTGGAGGTTGCTAATTGATAAAGCTCTGGGGTTTAAATCTCTGGCTGCAGAACCAGAGATTCCCCCACTGGGCTTCCTTGGCAGGGGGTGGACTAGATGACCCATAGGGTCTCTTCCAGCTTTGAAGTTCTAAGATGATGGGGTTGAGGGTGATATCCTTCAAATGATACACTACAGTCATCACCCCCTAAGTCTCACCTTTTTTTTTTCCTTCTTGGGATGGCTGGTCCTTAAGGGGATGATTTCCCCCATCCCCCTCTTGTTAACGGCACTCTGTTGCCCTGCGCTTTCCAGATCGGCGGCGTAGCCAATATCCACAAAAACCTCCTGAAAGTGGCCATTGGCGTCATCGAAGAATCGCGGCTGCTGCGCCTTCAACCCTTTAATGAATATCGGAAGAGGTTCAACATGAAGCCTTATACCTCCTTCCAGGAACTGACAGGTACAACCGGCAACTTCTCACCCTCTCAAAAAAAATTCAATTAAAAAATAAATCACATAGGTACGACTCATTGCATTGCCTTTCAAAAGTTGCTTTCACCTGGGTTAGCCAAATTAGTTATAAGTAACTCTTACATATAACTAGTTACTTCCGAGGTAACTGTTTCCTGTAACTAGTTACTTCCAAGGTAACTTACCTGTAACTAGTTACTTCCAAGCTCTGTTCCGGAGAAACATGGCCCTGTTCTGTTACTCACGGGCTCTCCTTCTCTCTGACACAGGGGAGGAAGAAAAGGCGGCCGAACTGGAAGAGCTGTATGGTGACATTGATGCCCTGGAGTTCTACCCTGGCCTGCTGGTGGAGAAGAGCCACCCAAACTCCATATTTGGGGAGAGCATGATAGAGATTGGGGCACCCTTTTCTCTAAAGGGCCTCTTTGGGAACCCCATCTGTTCCCCGGAGTACTGGAAGCCCAGCACGTTTGGCGGGGCCACCGGCTTCGAACTGGTGAACACGGCTTCGCTCCAAAAACTGGTGTGTCTCAACGTCAAGAGGTGCCCGTATGTGGCTTTCCGAGTGCCGGAGGACGAAGAGGCGACAGCACCGAGTGACACGTCCAGGCGGAAAGACCTCTCAGCCGAGCTCTAACAGTGCCACCAGGAGCCAGGGGGCTGCTGTCGAGTTTGGCCAACATCTCTAATGTGTAACATCTTCCCCGTTTGAAAGAGGGAGTCACACAGACCATGGCCGGAAAGACGACAAAAGGAAAAGAGAGAGAAAGAAAGAGAAAGCAAAACATCCATCTTCATCATCAACACACCCTTCTAACGTACTGCGGAATTCCTCTGCATTACAGACAGAGAGCAGCAGAAGAAAAAACAAGGTTTGATTTGTTAGGCGAGCTGAAAGCTGTCTATCCATGTTGGTTACCTTCTCCCCACCCAGGACTGTCAGGGGCTACAAACGTCCGCCCCACCCCACCCCCAAGAGGCTAAGAATGTAGTGCAATAATGCCAAGGGTCTCACTAGATGTTAAAGAGCCACAGGTGCTGAACCCACATGCCACCCCACAACTGGTTTTCCTCCTTGACACTCGAGGAATCAGACAGGCAAACAAAGTCTCTGTTTCCTTCTCAATGACCAGTCACCAAAACAGAGCACGCTAAATTCAGGATCTGGAGGTGAAATAAAATGGAAAAATATGTTGCTATATAAAAAATATAACTTTTACCACTTGAGGGAACACCCCACTGAGCATCTTGCTTCATTTGCTCAGAGATACTCGGTTTTAAGGCTGTCGCGGAGACCTGCCTGAAGCTTGCGAAACACAGAGTGGGAAAGTTTATTTTTTCCCCAGCTGATTTCATAGTTAGGTCTGTTCCTGCAAATTCAGGAATGGTGGGGTTTGACCAGGAAAGAACAGATATTGTGGAACGAAGGTGTGATGAAGGGTGACCTTTCAAATAAAAGGGGCTGTGTGTTTTTCCTAAAAGTTGTCACAACTGTTGTTATTTGTTTCGTGTGTGTATGTGTGTGTGTGTGTGTGTGTGTGTACGCACCTTCAGGCAGATGTTGGAATCTAGTTATGGCTAGAATCCTTTAAAGACCAGCTGGAAGCTTTTACCTACCCACCCACCCTGCCGGCAACTAACTTATCAGATTGAAAGCAGATAAAAGCACAAATGAAAACAGACACAAGAGTAACAAACTTTGAACACAGTGAAATAGACAATAGTATGAAACTTTTAAATATGCTGGTTTTATTGCTTTAATTTAAGAAAACGGCTAAGAATTCCTCGCATGGAGTAAAAGAGTTCAGCAAAATAAGTCAAGATATTCACAGGAACGATGACACGCAGGACAGACGGACAAGAATGCACGACCACATCCACGCAGGCGCAGACTGCCTGCGTTGGAGAAGGACATTTTACATCATCAAGACTCACAGCTTCAAAAAGCAGCGATCAAGAGTTGATAGGTATTATTTCAGGAATTTAAGCCCTACAGGTCCCGGTTCACTGCAGCGTGGCAGAGATGGCTCCATGTCACCAGACAATCACGCAGCTGCCAGACGCCTGGCCTCCTCCCAAATTTCCTAGCACCCAGCATGCCTGCTTTACTATTCAAGTCCATGAATAATACCATGAATCAGGAGGTGGAGTGGGGCTCATCCAGACTCCGCGCTGCTTTTATGGTCGCCTTTCCGGGTTCCAGGACTCTGGATGGAGCTGCCGATTTGGGAAACCGAGAGACTAGGAGCGAGCAAGGAGCAAGAGATGTTTGGAAGCTACCGTGCGGGGCAGGAGCTGGGCCAGCCTCGCTGACGCCTCAGTCTATCTCCAGATCGCTGTCTTCCTCACTGTAGCAGGAGGAAGGGTTTCTGACCGAGGAGAGGAACACCACCTCCTTCTCCGGCAACAGGCCACACTCCTGAAGGAAGGACTCCAAGTCTCCGGCGAAGAAGTCTTCCCCCAGCTGGTCCGTGATGCGGACAAAGTTGCCGATCAGCTCCCCTCCCTTGTAGACCAAGAGGGCCGGCAGGGCGTGGGTGCTGAAATGGGCACTGGTGCCGAGCAGGGAGCTGCGGACCCGGCAGAACTTGACCGCGGGGTATTCGGCGGCCAGGCAGAGCATACAGCCGTCCAGGGCCTCGCTCCCAGGGACCTGGTCTTCGTAGATGTGGATCATCACCAGGGTGTTCTTGTGGCCCTCCTCCAGGGCGTCCAGGAAGGCCTGGCTGCTCTCGATCTCAAAGACCTGCTTGAACTGCGGCCCGCTGTGCAGCTGCCGGCGCATTTCCTCCATCCGCTGCCGGCGGTACTGCTGCAGGAACTCCTCGTCGTCTGTGCTCTCGTGCAGCAAGCTGTACTCTTGCAGCGTAAGCTGAGGAAGGGGTGGGGAAGAGGGCAGGGAGACGGGAGGAGAGGGGGAATGAAACAGAAGGCACCTTGGAAGGCTGGGGGTGGGGAGTCAAAACTTCACCCTCAGCCTCCACCACGTGCTCCGCCAGGCCTAGAAAGGGCCCCAAATAAACTGTACATCCTTGATAGGAATGGCTGCTGACCCCTCAGTGGGGTTCCTTCATTTACTGTACTGATTTATAGCCCACTTTTCTCCTTTGCGGGACCCAAAGCGGCTTACATTGTTTAAAAAAAATACAGCTAAACCTCACAATAAACTATAATATTGCAACAGTATTAACCCGAAGAGACAAACGCACATCGATGGAAGTTTAAAACTCATGCAAAACATGTCCGAAACAATACAGCCACAGTGACACCAAACCACCCGCTGAAAGTGGAGTCTTTTCGAGGAAGAGGCTTAAAAAAACCTCCCAAATCTGCACCCTGCTCAGGCCCATGCTCGTCCACAGCGCCACCGCTCCTGGCTCAAACTCTGAAGGCACAGGCCTCACTGAGATATAGGAAAACGAACGTGCCAAGAAAAAGCCACGGGCAACCCTACCGTTGAATAATAAGGCAGTGAGGGCACAAGTTAGGCGTTCTCAGGGCAGACTCTTGCCCCGTGCATCCTCCACTGGCACAACCCCGGACAGCCCAGGTCCCAAGATGTGGAAGAACTGGCACAGCGACGGCCATCTGGCAGGCCAGCCTTACCTTGCTATTCATCTTCGCCTGAAGCTCTTTCTGCTTCCGCTTGTCAGCCTCCTCGTCCAGGTGGGACCTGCAGGTCACGGACAGCTTCTTGAGGAGCCGCTCCATCTCCCGACGCTGTTCCTCCCGCTGCTCCGTCTCCAGTTGTTTGAACTGCCTCCAGTCGTTGATCACACCTTTGGGACCTGCGAGTGGGGGGGAGGAGAGGAGAAGGAGGGATGAAGGAGACGGGGTTGGGAAGGGGCGGCTGGCCAATTTGGATGGAAGTCCAATTCCACAAAGGCCGAGATGGCGGCCAATTGCATTTTTTGCAATTTGTTATCTTTTTTTCCTATTTTCCCAACCGAGCATTTGATCTGAAGGCCATGAAGACTATGGTGTGGTTTGATCGGAAGGCTGTCACGACTATGGTTTGGTTTGATCGGAAGGTCGTCACGACTATGGTTTGGTTTGATCTGAAGGTCGTCACGACTAAACTATGTTGTGGTTTGATCGGAAGGCTGTCACGACTATGGTTTGGTTTGATCGGAAGGTCGTCACGACTATGTTGTGGTTTGATCAGAAGGCCGTCACGACTATGGTTTGGTTTGATCTGAAGGCCGTCATGGCTATGGTTTGGTTTGATCTGAAGGCCGTCACGACTATGGTGTGGTTTGATCAGAAGGCCATCACGACTATGGTTTGGTTTGATCTGAAGGCCATCACGACTATGGTCATCAAGAACCTCTTTTTGGAGAACCACCTTCCAAGTTGATCTTTCCTCTGTCCACAGTTAAAACCAGGCAACCTTAGCATGCCTATGGGTTTCTGACTAGCAAAGTGCAGAATGCCTGCAGAATCTGCATGTGTGTGTGTGTGTGTTAGCAACCGCCGGACTGAGTTGAAAGAGGTACACACCTGTGTTGATGGCACTCCCGTCGCTACTGAGCGCCATCTCTGCCGGCGGGGCGGCCTCTCGGATGGTGTGCGTCTCCTCCTCTCCCTCCTCCTTCTCGCTGTTTTCATCTTCGCTGCTGCTATAGTAGTACTGGAGCTTCTCTCCCAGCAGTTTGTCATCCAGAGTCGTCATTCTGAGGGGCTGCCGAAACAGAACCAACAGAGGTTTGGCATCCAACACCCTTCCTAAGACAGGAACCCCATAAAATGGACGGAACGCTCAGATTCCCTCCCTTGAGGATCGCACGGATGGATGAGCTGAAAGTTGCAAATTCAACTCAACAGCTGCCAACAGAACAAAAATTCTAGATGTCTCCTTCTTGGTCAAACAGCTGCTCTGCCCACCCACCGTCTTTTCTCCCTATAAGCTCCACAGAGACTTAACACAGCTTTCTCTGTTTCCCCCAAAACAGACGTGCCCAGCCCATAGCATGGAGGCAGAGATGTGGGGTGGAAATAGCCAGCGAGATGGATTTAGCACTAACCCTTAATCCGTCCTTTTATCCGGAATTAGATGTAGCCCTGTAAACCTCTGGTGATATAAATAACTCAAAAGGTTTGTTTGTTTTGTTTAAAGGAAGGATTCTCCTGTGAAAGAGATTATTAGGGCTTCACACTAGGCTGGGCAAAAACATCTCCCAACCTCATCCTGAAAAATGCTTCATTAAAGATACAGAAATAATGTCCCAAGATTGGCAGTCACTAGCTCTTTTTTTTTTTTTAAAGAAAAGGTACTCCTGTTTAAAAATCCAAATCAGGCTAATCCTTTGATTAGGAAAACTGATAGCCACGTACAATGTTCCTTATTCCTAACTAATATAATAATTTAATGGGGCCGTATTTATCTTTTCCACCGTGTTGCTCTTATGGATTCCCATACTTGGACCAAAACTGGTCTAAGAAATAACAGGAATGCTGTTAAAGGAATATACAGATACGTACGTAAAAAAAAAAGGGCAGCCCTCAAAATATAGTCCAAAGTTTCTTAGCTCTGCACAGATGAAAAGACAGATGGAGGCTAAGCTCCGTTCCCACTGCAGAGACATAATGGATGAGCAGATCATATTGAAGATTATAAGGGTCATAGCTATGGGCTTTTAAAAATGAGATCAAGAGATGTATGTGATTTAAAATGTTACTGTATTCCCAGTCAAGCAAAGCAACTGCGTCTTGGGGTGGTTTCAGGCCTGTTGCGCTCTCTCTGCTTGGCTCTATGCTCTGTTTTATGTCCTGCATAATCTCCTTTGAAAAATGCAGATATTTAACGATGATGGAGCTGAGCTGCAGAACTAACATTCCTGTTTGGTGCTGCCAAAAAAAAAGTGAAGGGGCAGGAGGGAGAGCGAGGCAAGCCGACCCTCCCAGCCCATTTTCACAAGGCTGACAACTTTTGTGGAGGGTGGTTGGATTATTGATTAGCTTT